AATAAAAGTCATGGTGTACCAAGGGAAACCATTTGGAGGCAAAGTGTACTACAGTGTTTGAACTTTCAGGGCTTCAGAGTGGTCAGTAGTTTCCTGAGAGCCTCAAGTGCCTCCTAAGTCACCCAGAGTGCCCCACCTCTCCAGGGGCCTGCTGTGCCTGCATCCTCAATCCATGTCCTGAATGTCCTGTCTTGCCTCCTGATACTCCACAGACAGTTCTCTGGGTCACCCTGAAACACATCCCATCCTGCCCAAAACTGGGCATTCCATCACTCTTCCTCAGGACCAGTGGGTTCTGCCTTCCTGCACAGGGGCGGGGTGCTAAGACATGTTTAATGTTCTGTTTTGAAGTTTAAAAAGATTCTGTCATGTATCCACTTCTAACCACATTTGCAAGGATATTTATTACTATTTAACAGCTTGGTGTAAAGTCTTATTACCATTATTTGCAAGCTTTAAAAAATACTTCTATACTGTTTATTTTTCTCATCTAGGGAATTCAGGAGTCCCTCTATTATTTCTCCTATATTCTGCAGATATATTCCAAATTAGTTCCATATCTGTAAATTAACTACAGACACCCGCACATCAACAGACTACAAGAAAGATTAATGATCATACAGCAAGGTTCCTAGTGCCCTGGCTGACATATGAAAGTTATTTCATAAATAATTCTGATTTTTAAAAAGAAGGCAGAAGTCTTCTAATGCAGGGCCTGAAACACAACCATACTGAATGTCTGTGTTGGTGGGCACTGACATGGTCCTAAATGTTTAACTTGGTGTTTGCATCTTCCTGGATGAACTGTCCGTCTGTTTTTCAGAGTAGCAACCTACTCCGAATCACCTGTGTATCTTCTCACTTCTGCTGTATTCTGCTCTACCCACACTTTCATACTCACCCCACCCAACAAGATCACATCTCTCTGCTCACAGCTGGATCCCCCCCCCACCCCGCCCAGCGACTTCTTTAGATCACACCTGATGGGCTGCTGCTGTGCTCATGTTGGAGAAAACTCTTTCTGCACTTATTTCTTTTCATTCCTTGTCCCAAATGCCTGCAGAGCCTGGCTATTTCTGAGGTAACTTCTAAATTAAAGGGGGGCAACTGACACTCGGGATCCTTTCAAAACAAAGATTTTGGAAAGTAACATTCTTTCAGTGACACCTTTCCTCTGACTGCGCTCAGCAGCAAGGCAGAGCCAGTCTCTCTGGTCCCTGAGGCCGTCTTAATTCTCCAGTGACTCTCAGAGTGCCTCTTACAGCACTTTCATCATCTGAAATCACCATCTGTCTGGGTTTTGTCTTAATCTCCACGAACAGTTTCTACTACTTTGAGAACATTTCCAACTTTCCCAGTGACTGAAGGGACCACGACCATCCTGGTCCACTTAGCTCCATTTCTACCCTAAGTCTGGGTGGCATGAATTCCACCTTACAGGACAGCTGTGCACACCAACTGACTTCTTCAGTTCGCAATCGTTAGTAAAATTCATACCATTGATGCTTACAGCTTTGCCTCGTTCCAGAAGTAGTCTGTTCTTTCTCTATTGCCTATATACTGGGAAAGCAATATATCTTTTAAGCTCAGAGGGAAAATAAAAACCTTTGCATGCAGGCACAATGTCTCTAAAGTCATCTTAACATCCTTCTCTGCAATGCCAAATAGTAAAAAGTCACAGAATGACTTTGCTGGAAAGAAAAAAAGGAAGGTCCAAGATGCTCTCAGGAAATGGGGAACACACCAGCATCCCAAGACCCTCTGTGGCCGGTCCATAGCTGTGCGGCTGAGGGAAATGGTGCAGGTGATGGAAGAACCAGGAACACCTCATTCACTGACTACAAAACAAACCTACAGACTCCTTTATTTTATAACCCTTTCGGCACACCATGGTCCTATTATAACAGACCGGAAAGGTGTGGATTGTAATCTACAATAGGATGTATTCCCCAAACCACAACAATTTCCTATGCTGACGTCCTAACCTTCAGTACCTCCAAATGCGACCTTATTTGGAAACAGGTTACCGATTAACACGAGCTCACACTAGAGTACCACCGGCCTCTAATCCAGAGCACCTGTTGTCTTTAAGGGCCAGGAAAATGTGGAGACTGCATGCAAAGAAGCCACATCACAAGGAGGTCTCAAAGACTTGGAAAGGGGTTTGGGGATGTAACTCTGTGACACGGTGCTCAATTAGCATATGGGAGGCCCTGCGTCCAACTTCCACTGCCACCAAAAAAGAAAGAAGAAAAAAGTGCAGGAGAAGGGAGGGAAGAGAGTCTCCCTCCCAGCCCCAGAAGAAATTAGCCTTCCAGAGCCTTGATTTTGGAGGTGTACTGTGAGACAATAAATTTCTGCTGTTTAAGCCACCCGGTTGTTTTGGTAATCCTGGCAAATTAATAGTCTTAGGTCTACAATTTTCATATTGCTGAAGTAGAAGTTGTAGTCACTATTATATCCACACCCTTAAACAATAAACAAGCCATGTTTATGGTTATGTGCAATCCACTAACTACACACCTACTTTCTTACAGTACCCTAAATATGGCTGGGGAGGTAGCTCAGGGGCAGAGCACTTGCCTGGCATGCAGAAGGACCTGAGTTCAATCCCCAGTACCACACATACACACACACACACACACACACACACACACACACACACACACACACACACACTAGTGAGTACACATAGACTCACTCATCCAATCCTCTCCCACCATAACATAGACACTATTATCATCCCCTTTTTCACAGCTGAAGAAACTGATGCATAAACCAACTAAGTAACCTGTGTGACCCAGCTTTCCCAGTGATGAACAAAATACTGACACTTGCAACCAAAAAGCAGGGTCTGACTTGTTTATGGTTTCAGAGGTTTCTGCCCATGGTTGCCCGGCTCCCGGGGAGAAACTTCATAGCAAAGGGGCCAGCAGAGCAAAGCTGCTTAGCTCAGGGCAGCTCGGAAACAGGGTTGGAAAAGGAGCAAGGGACCAGAGTTCGCCTTTCCAGGTCACACCACCAGTAACCCACCTCCTCCATCCACACCCCACCTTCTACAGCACACTCAACTGCGGCCTGCCAAGGGGTTAACCCGTTAGGGCCCCTACATGACCCAATCATTTTCCAAAAGCCCACAAAACTTTTAGGGACATTTTACATCTAAACCATATCATTATTTAAAGTCAAAAAGAAAGTGAAGGAGACAATATATAAGCCCAGGCAGCCTGACCAATGAGATAACTACTCTTGCAAACTATAAACTTCCTTCCCAAGTAAAGAAGTTACCTGTCACTTCCCCCCCGAAAGGGCCTTTGTTCCCCTCAGTAAAATGAACAACTCTCCCTTGTTTGTGTGTCTACCCGATCTAACTCCTGCGACCTTTTTGATCTTATCAATCATTTTGTTTATCCACAAATTCTCCCTTCAGACTTAGCTTCGCATCTTTGCTTAGATACAGCATTAGATACCATCCTTGATCTTTATTCTCAGGGCTACTTGCTTGATAGGATTTCATCTCTATATGTGTTCCTTTCTCACTGAAAGAACACAAGTTTTTCAGTGAATCCTTAAATCCATTCAGAAGTCATCTTTCTGTGAATCCATACATGCACTGCTCAATATCATTTGAGAATTCCAGAATGATGCCAGTTATGAAGGTGGTTATTCCATCTTACACTATCAAAAAAGAAATGAAGTACTTACACAGATCAATACAACAAAAGGAAGTAACTTTGCATGACAAGGACAGAGTACTCTTGGAACTTAACAGAAGACAGAGAAAGGGAATAAACTGAGACTGACGTATCTGAATTGGGCCTTAAAAGAAGATAGTAATATAAACCAAAAGTCATTAACCTGCCAGAAGACAAGATAGGTGAGACTCCTGAATCACAGGCACAGACAAGGACTTTTGAATACAAGACCAGCTGCACAGCAAACAGTTCAAAAGTGAACAAATGCGATCATAGAAAATTAAAACGCTTTCCCACAGCAAAAGAAACAACGGAGTGAAGAGACAATTTACAGAATGGGAAAAAAATTTTTGCTAGCGATTCTTCAGATAGAAGACTAGTATCTACAATATACAAAGAACTCCAAAAAAAGAGATACCCCCAAAATAGAAGACTCAATCAAAAAATGACATGAAGGCACTTCACACAAGTGCAAACAGTCAATAACTCCATCAGAAATGCTCAACATCACTGGCTATTAGAGAAATGCAAATTAAAACAACACGAGATTCCATCTACTCCAAAAAGAATGGCCATCATCAAGAAATCAACCAATAACAAATGCTGGCAGGGCTGAGCGTGGGGGCGGAGGAAGCCTTTTACACAGTTGATAGGAATGGAACTAGCACAACCACTATGGAAATCAGCATGGAGTTTCCAAAAAATAAATGCTGAAACTAGAAATTCCACTTGACCAGCTAGTCCCATTCTAGTGTCTTTCCCCATGAGTTAAAGACATGATATTGCGGTGACACATGCACACCCATGCTTATAGCAGCACAATTCATAATAGCTAAATCTTGGAAGTGACCTATCAAAACACAGATAGGTACAGAAAATGTGATATTTGCAGAGCATGGAGTACTATTCTGCCATGAAGAACAATAAATGAGCCATTTGTAGAAAAACAGATGCACCTTGAGACCATATTAATGAAATCAATTAGACACAAAGCTAAAATATCACAGGTTTTCACTTATGTGAGAAAACCAGAGCAAAATAAAAAACAACAGGAAGCAGGAAAATCTCTCTCAAAGTGGGAGGCGATTAAGAGAAGGAGGGAAGGAAGGAGATGGGAAAGAATTGGGATGTGTTACATACATGTACTAACTACACACAAGAAATGTAAATATTGTGCCCTGCCTGTATACAGGCACTAACAAACTGACTTTTTGATTATAAAGGGGTCAGTAGGGATGTACACAGTTTACTGCACACTTTTTACTACTTACATGCCCACTGAGTTATCTTAGGGTACATGATTACCTTTCTTACAACTTATTTTGTTCCTCTGAGGATCCACAAGGGGTGTGAGGTGGAGCCCATGTGCTCATGGAGACGCTAAGTTACTCCTGTCTTTTCTGTAGTGCAAAGCACCACTGATTACATGCAACAGAGGTCTTCAAAAGCTACCTGTGGAGACAATGAAAGAAAATATGAAGGGAAGAGAAGAGAGAGAAGCTGTAAAAGGATGAAGTGCATTCTCAATGCTCCAGAATCCAGCAGTCTCTCCTTTCCGCTTCTCCCTCCTCCTACACTACTGATCTGCAGTCTATCTGCTTCAATGCTTTTCCCCTACATTTCTTTTTTTGCATAAAATGCTCTGCAAGCCAATCCATTTTCTCCTCACCGCTGAGGATTTTCTGCCTTGCAATCTCTGTTCGTCCCCTTCCATACGTTTTTTTTCTCTTTAGCACTTCAGTGATCTCGCAAAGCTTCGTGCTCGCTATCTTTCTCCTGCCAGATTTTAGAGCTCCTCAAGGTTGAAAAACATGTCATATTTATTTTGCACGCCTCCCGTGCCTGCTCCCAGACAGCCCCTTAAACCCAAAAGTACCTGGCAAACAGTCCCTACATGACTAAATATTTTCAGGATCCTACCACTCAACCAGTGTTCTTTCATCTGACACTCCAAGTTCAAAAGTACATTGGAAAAAATTATACATCAAAGCATTCATTCCCAAATAATTCAGATTTATCTTTTCTAAAGCGTCCAATCGCTGAATCAAGTCAGGAGTTTCACCAAGAAAAAAAAGAGGTAAGCACACAAAGAAAGCTCTGTAACATAACCACCTTCACATTGCTGGCTCAACTCGGCTTTTTCAGGCACAGGATTTATCGTTTGAAGCCCACTCCGGAGCATAAAAGCCGACTTGCATACCTTTCCCAAGAAAGAGGAATTAGAAGGGGCCCAGTTCTCTCAAGTATGCACAAGACAAAACTCAACAAGCTGAGGTGTCTTCGCACTGTTAAGGTTTCCACAGCACTCTTAATGTCTTCTTACAGAATCCTTCTCTGCAAGTCACATTAAGTTCTAAAATTGTCATGGTAAAAATCTTAGGACTCTAACATAACACACTGATAATGGGATGAGCTCAGTGAAAATCACTTTCTTGGGGGGGGGGCAGATCTTAAAATTTCAAACTAGTGTTTAAGAAGAAATAAACCGAACAGTGAGTAAAAGGGACCGGCTGGTTTTTACTCGGCTGTCTGTTCCTCCTGGGTTCTCATCAGAACCAACAGACTCCAAGTTGCAGAGGACATTAGGGAAGGACAGAAGGGGGGAGAGACGGGCATCAAAAGACACTAACCTAAGACAACCGTGCAGGTCTTCAGTGAGTCCAAGAATCAGGGCCCCTGACAAAAGTGTGGAAAGTATTTCAAAGCTCCTGATAAACCACAGGGTATAAAGCTAAGTTTAAACCCAGGGCCCTTACACTCAGCTACATTCATAACCCGCTTCTATTTATGTATTTATTCACTGTTAAATTTTGCAGTAAGATTTCTCTGAGTCAGGCTGCAGTCAAACTTGGATCATCGTGCCTCAGCCTCACAGTGTAAACGAATTAAAGAGCAAAATAAAAGCTAGCTAGGAAAGAGAGATCTTTGATGAATTAGGAAGAGGATCAAGACACAGAGGGGGAAAGAAATGGGACAGAAAAAGACTTTTGATGTGTCGCAGATGTGCACCCATTACCCACAAGGAATGTGTTCATTTTGTATTGCAAACATGCACGAATAAATTTTTAAAAATCTGACTATAAAGCTATAATAACACTGTATAGACTTTCTATGAGGTCGAGTATATGAATAAAATCCATAAACAGACTCACAAAGACACAAAAAATGCTAAGTATAAACTCTAAAGCTAATTTTTGTTTAAAAGGGACAACTACATTCGCAGAATCCAATCACTTTTAATTTTGAAAATTTCACTCTGGAAGAGTAGAAGTTAAAGAATTAAAGTCCCAGAAGACAGAGTTTAAGTTCTTTTCACGATAACCCCATTTAAACCTTTCTAAACAGAGAAGAACTCAAAGGTTTCCAGGTCATCTTCTGTAACCCATCCTGGAGGATAAAAACACTCAGAAAAATTCCCCAGTATCTAGCATAAATTCCTCTTAATGCTGGCTTTAAGTTGATGATTTCCCCTTCCTTTTCTTCAGGGCAGATGGAAAACAGCTGTCAAGATTCCCTTTCAGGCTCCTTCTTCCTTCTGTTAGCTCCTCTCCCTTGAGAGAAGGGAACCCTACAGGTGATCAAAACTCAGCTGTCCCTGCCTGCCCCCCTCCCCCGCCTCCTGGGAATGAAGTCATTCAATGGCTGAGGTCCCAGGAAAAGTTTTCCAGAATTTATGGAATTCTAGAAATCCACTGCTTACTGACTGTCCCCAGATATACTGGAACAAAAACGCGTTCCTCACCTTCAAGAACAGAAATGTCTAGAAGGCAGGCAGCGCAGCGGATTCCTTCCTGGCATCAAGGTCTTACCACCATGTGGTAGGTGTTCATGCACCCTGGCAGGGAATATTTTTAAACTGCTAGTGATTTTTATCACGCAGTTCTTGAGTTTCCTGACACTCCTGCGACTTTTTTGGATGCCACTTCAGAAATACAACAACCCTTTCCATAAACCAATCTAAATGAGTAGTCTGATAAGGGTCAATTTCCAGGCAGTGATTCCTCAAAGGCGTAATCTACACCGAATTAATGACATAACCTGCAGATGGCTGTATTTTATACTAAAATTTACATAACCAGTGATAATATCACCTTGTACTTCAAGAATTGCTGCTAACAAATATCCTTGTTTTCTTTGTAATCGCTTATTTGACAGCCACACAAAAGCCCAGGGAACTGCTGCATACCTCATCAATAAAAATAGTACCGATCTGCAAGTCTGCTGAGCCCACTTCCTTCACAAATTCCTCTGAAGAGTTAGGAAATGCTGATTCGGCACTGCTGTGGTGTAACTTCTGCATGTATTAAATGCCTACCGCTTCATAGCTGGGTTTGCTGCCCAGGAGAAAAATGCAAACGCCTAACTTAAGCACCCACTGTGCCACGCCGTGACCTGTGTGTGCAACGCACATTTCACATGGGAAGATTTAAATGACAGCTTTTTAAATCGACTGTGGGCTCTTGCTCAATTTCCACCGAAGAGGATGTGCTCTACCTCACACACAGGGGGCTTTGATTACTCTATGTCTTTCTCACTAGCTGGGGAGAAGACAGGGACTATGAACAATGCAAATAATATTCATTGCAAGCGTTTAGTTTTTAGGGGTTGGGAGCGGCTGTTTTCTGCACACAGAACATATATTCAATAGCAAACAGTCGCTATCTAGAGCAAAGCAGACGGACACACCCCATGATGGATACGTCGTGTGTGTAACTGAAAGCGATCTGTATTGATGCCTTTTGTTTTTAGAGTAAGATTACACTTATCTGATTATGATGACTATTTCCAAATACAAAAGGATAAAGCAAATCATGTTTATTATCAATATTGTCTATAGCTTCTATACGTTACTAAAGAGAGAAATTCTTTCAAGTATCTACTAATACTGGGTAACAATCACCAATTCATGTTTATAAAACACTTAAGGGAGTTCAAGTAGAAATAAACTCAGTTATAACACTATCAGAAGTTATACCCAGAAAGCTCCATGAGTGTCAGGAAACTCAAGAAAAGCATGCTAAAACTCACTAAGTAGTTTAAAACTCACCTTTCTATTCTGAATTAAGGAATAAAGGACTCCACTGAAAACATCAACAACCTTTGCCTCTTTCCAAATTGAGTCATTGCCTTTCTCCACTCTGATCTCTAAGAGCTCTCTAATTCTTTCTCCAGCAGGTTTATATGCCTCTGGGCATCTGACAGAGGACTGGCATCCTCCCTGTGAACAGGCCACAGCTTGCCTGCCTATGGCAAGTCCGCCACTTGTAAAGCACAAGGATGAAGCCAGCTCCAGAGGACTCTGCATCAGCCTGGGGCTCCAAGGGATCAGATCAGACGCTCCACGGAATCTTCACAGGGAGACCAAGGCAGCGAGGAGAATAAACCCCGCTGCAGAACAGAGTCCGAAAACAGCCCAGAACAGGAGCCCAAAGCACAGGAGTGTTTTAGGGAACCCCAAGTTCACAACAATAGTGAGTAATAAAAATGAAATAGAAGCCATTAATAATATGAATTTCAAGTCACAAAGGAGAAAACAACCACTAAATATGCAATTTACATTAATCTCAGATTGAAGGAATGCTACTAATTACTGCTAAAATGACAGACAAGTGTCTCACCCCCAGTATTTCCATTTCTACAATACTGAAATAATGGAAAGCTCACCACCCGCTCTGCATCACACTCTATTTACAACAGGCTTAAATATGAAAATCTTAGGATTGTTTGAAAAAATGCAACTTGAAAATGCAAGAATTCATGTATCTGTATGCACCACCCAGCAGGGACTTTTCCGTTCTTTCCATTGTCTGGATGCATACAAATTTAATAGGTAAGCATTTAACACTAATGTTCCTCCCAACATTAATTCTTTTCTCTAAAACACTTCATGATCAGCTAACTAATCATTCCTTTTCATACCATACATTAAAAGTTGTGAAACACTGAACTTAGAGAATCTGAGTTTGCAATTACATTATAGGCACAGAAAAGTTTTCTTTAGAGAACATTATTTCAATTAAAATTAAATATGAAAACTTCCACTTAATGTAAAGTTTAATTTTTAAAAGGGAATTTCTAACTATAATTGTATGGTAGAATTGAGAAGCCATTTTCCTAACATCCTCTAATTAGAAATAATCATTTCTAGCCAGGCATGGTAGCACATACCTGTAACCCCAGTATTCGGGAAGCAGGAGGGGTGCCGTGAGTTCAAGGCCAGCCTTGAGCTACACAGTGTGTTGGGGCCAGGCTGAACCACACAGCAAGACCCTGTCCCCCTGCCCCCCAAAAAGGAAAAGAAACGATCACTTCTAATTACTGCTATCACTAAATGGAAGCGGGCTCAGTAAGTACCTCAGGAGCCTGGGATTCTAATCTCCATTTCCCATCCTATTTGACCATACAAATTTCATAGGAAAATAATTTCCCTTTCACTACTCTGGGATCTGGCACTTGCCTCATCCCTACACTGGGGCACCAACTCTAGGTCTGCAGAATTTTTCTTGTGCTGTCCAAACATCTGCAAGTAATTTTGTGGCCCATGAAAGTGTTTTATTCTACAAATCGCTTATAGAGATTCAGGAATAGTGATGCATATCTGTAATCCCAGCTCTCTGGGAGGCTGAGGCAAGATTACAAATTCAAGCCCAAATTGGGCAACTTCGTGTCTTAAGGAAAAACTTGCTTAAATAAATAAGTGAATAAAGAATCAACCAACAAATTATTTAAATAAACACATAATCTGGGAAAATTGCTCTGCTCAAAGGCCCTGAACCCAATCCCCAGTAATCCCACCCCATCCAAGAAAAAATAGAAGATAATGCAATTCCTAAATGAGAAAAATATGGCATCTAACAGATTTGCCCTGTTCTCTGATGGACCACATTTTTTTTCTTTTCAATAGGATTAGTGGAAATTCTTTGGGTGCCTTACTTGCAAGGTCTGAGTCTCCTTACAGACCAGAAGTAACAGGGATGGAGAATATTTTCTATATTCAAGAGTCCAACATCCTAAAGGCCAAGTAATATTCAGTGTATGTTTGCAACCACAAAGCACTAATCTTTTGCTAATTTCTTTGCCCTTTTTGAAACCAAAGTAACTGATACATTAAAACTCAATTATTGGGCCAGGGATTTAGCTCAGTGGCACAGTGCCTACCTGGCAAGCACAAGGTCATGAATTTGATCCTGGGTACAAAAAAAAAGATAAAACTTAATTATCTTTTTTTTTTTTTTTTTTTTTGGTCTTTTTCGTTTTTATCGGTACCGGGGATCGAACTCACGACTGCCTGCTTGCAAGGCAGGTGCTTATGCCGCTGAGCTAAACCCCTAGCCCCAAAACTTAATTATCTTATCTTGTTTTTAATCCTCTCTAGTCATCTACTAAAATCATAATATTGAGCAAGAATACTGTAATTTCTTTCATACAGCACAGCCTGACCCACAGCAAGCAGACATAAATTGGAAAATATTCTATCATAAGTAACATTAAGAAATGTTTAAATAACTTTTTCATCTATGACTCCAAAACACGGGGATTTTAAAAAAGTTATAATGAAGCACTAGGAAACATCTGTCATGTTAGGAATGTCACCCAAGGACAATTCCTGGGGCCAGGCACAAGGCACATGCCCCTGAACACACCGTCCTAGCGTGGTTACGAACCAATTTTATAAATTCTGCAGCAGATGTACACATCTGTATTGCCTCCTAGAGGATATGTGACCCAGCCTGGCAAACCAAAGCTGTTTTCCCTCAGTCAGGCCCCAAACTCTGAGGATGGAACTTGAGCCAGCCTTCACCCGCAAGAGGAGGAGTAGGACCTCAAATCTCCATCCTGCAAAGGCCTGGATCAGGCTCTGCTGCAAAACCTTCTTTGGTTGAAGCTGTTTGGTTTTGTTTTTCAAAATTCGCCTCTCTTGGGGAACTGCACTGTTGGTTTTTGATCTGAATGCTAAAATCTACTGTGCAAGGCCCCTGTTTTTATGGACGCAAAATTGGCTGAAACTGATTCTGACATCATACACCAGTCAGGGTAAGTAACTCTTCCAAGTTCACCGAGAGGCTCATTTCTGTTTCCTCCCCTCCAGAACCAGCTCTGTCTGGCACTTTCTGCTGGACCCACAGAGGAGTCGCTAAGTGACAGAGAAATCAAATTCAGTCCTTCCTTTCCATTCTTACTAAGACAGATCTTAGCGACAGATTCACAAAAGGGCTTATAGCCCAGTGATCACGCAAATGCTCAGATAAGTAATTCTATATCTTACTTCTTCCATGCCCGTTACATTTTTGTGATCCCATTTAGTTATCCAGTCTGGGTATTTGATAACTTATTTCATCTCACTGTTTAATTTCATAGATTATCGTTTCTTGAGAAATCAAACACTGAAGAAAAAAATTCTTGCAAAGGTCAGCGCTCTAAATACTAAAAATGCTGAAAATATTTCTAAGAAAGAAAATTCATTTTCACATTTCATGTACCATTACATCATGACTAACATTTTTAACAAGAACTTTATTCCATGAAGATGCTGGGAAACTTCTCGTGTCCCTGAGCTGAAGAACTCCAGGTGGCCGAGGGTCACCTTAAGTCTCCAAAGCCACGCGCGAGGTTCCCTCCCCGCGCCAGCCGCCTCACCGCACCCGCAAGCTCTCCAGCGGCAGCTGCGCTCCGGCTCGGGCGCGACAGAACTGGACCGAGTGGCACCGCTCGGGCGCTTCCCGTCTAAAGGGGCTGCCCCGCCCGCCGGGTTAGCGACCGCCCGGGACGGCTGCGGAGCTCGGGACGCGCAGCGTCGCCGCGGCCCGGCCCAGGAGCAGCGCCCGCGGGCCGCCCGAACACGCAGGGGGCCCGCCGGCCCGACGCCCTGGGGGTGCGCTCGGATCTTCGGGGGTGCCCCGGCCCCAAGCCCCATCTCTCCGCCGCCGGGAAGCCCCGCACGGCGCCTCCCGGGTCTCGCGGGGCTCCTCGATCCGCCGGCCGTGAGCCCGGCAGACGGCGCCCCGAGGTTCGGGAAGGGTCCCGCGCCCCGCGCCCCGCCTCCGCTTACCGCTCCCGCCGCCGCCCGCTCGGCTCGCGCCCGCCACGCGTCCCCGCAGGACGCCCGGTCCCCGCGCTCCGCCCGGCCTCAGCGCGCCCGCCGCGCCACGGTGCCGGGACCCGCGCCCCGAGACGCGCGGCAGCCTCCGGGCGCCGGCGGGGCGAGGCAGGCGGCGGAGGGCGGGACGCGGCGGGCCGGGGCTCCGCGAGGGAGGAGGAGACCGCGACGTCAGCGGGCGGAGGGGGAAGGGGACCCCGACCTCCCGCCCCGCGCGCGGCTCCGCCCGCGCCCCAACTCGGGCCGGGGGCCGCGCTCCGCCTTCCCGCCGCGGGCGCACGCACCCTGCCGGGCCAGGCCGCCGCCTGCAGCCGGCTCTGGCTTCTCGGGACCGCAGGCTGCAGGTTCGCTCCGGAATCCCAGCCGGAGGGAAGACGACTTCGGTAGGCCCCGGGGGCGGAGCCGGCGCTTCCGCACCGCCCGCGAGTGAGGAATCTCAGCGGGTAGCAGAGGCCCGCGCCCTGCGCCCTCTCCGGAGCGGGGACTCCCTCTCTCCCGTGGCCCAGGGCCCTGCTCTGAAAGAGGAGCGGTTCTAGCCTCGCAGGACCAACGGAATGCACGAGATTCAAAAGCAGCGGACTCCGTAGGCGCTGCAGGTTTGATCACAGGAGATAAGGGCTCCGGAGCTGAGCGTTTGACGTTTGCAGCTCTAAGAGGAAACTTCTATTTTATCTCCGAGGCCCGCCTGAGGCAGGAGGGCAGCCCTCCTCCACAAAGGGAGCCTCTGAGTTTTCCTCTCCTCTGCTCAGAGGCCACCCTGAGTGTTAACTAAGGTCCAAGCCAGCCAGACCCATGACAGGTATGACCAGGGTCATCCACGCATCACCCCCTCCGAGCCAGGCTGTGCAGATGTGACCATTGCGTGGGTTACTTGCCTTGCCTGGTCTTTAGGATGTGGGACGTTTGATCTAACGCTGTGCCTCCCTCGATGTTGGCCTCTGAGGTTGTCCAGTTCCAAAGGGGCCTCTTCTGCCCCTTTTCCCGTTCGCAAAGCCTAAAAGAGCTTCCCTCCGGCCACACTGATAGGACAAAGTGTGAATATCTACTTGCGTGCTTCCCTTTTTCAAACATGGCATAGAAGAGAGACTGGTCACAAACAAGTCAGGAGGAAATGATATTGTGAAATTTTAATGTTTATTCAGGTAAACCACTGATTTGTATAAACTTCCTGATGTTTGTATGTGGGTATTGCCTGGGAAGGAAAGAAGGGGTTCTGTAATTTAGAGCTAGTTTTAATTTGACTCAGACCCTAACTTTGTAATTTGCTGCAGGCCTTGGAAAGCTAGATCACATTCAGTGCTGCGGTTTTCTTATCTGTAATGTAGAGCTCAAATGCTGAACAGGTATAGAAAGCATGCAATAAAAATGGCTAATCCTGGCGTCTTGGAGCCTCTATTACATACCGAGCTCTGTGCTGAAAGTTGCAGATATTATTAGAATCAATTGTGCAGGTATCTAGCAGTACTATGGAGTCCATGTCGATCTCCATGTGTCTTCCTAGATTCAGAAGAAACCCTGACAAAAATGGCCCATTTACTTTATTTCATTTTCCACCAAGTACAGCAATCTTCTGGTCTGTGATTCTCCAACCCTGGACTCATGAAGGGAGCTTTTAATGACTTCTTTTTAATGGGAGCCCCCACACCAGCTCAACTGATCCTAAGCACTGAATTCAAGGTTGCATCTAAATAAGAGTAGAAGGATGTTTAATGGCTTTTTTCTAGCTACTGTATTTCCCTAAGTCTGTCCTTGATGCTTGAAAGGCAGCATCATTACCCTTTGACATATAAATGTTATGGTTTGTTTTACATACTATATTACCACCACCTAAACCCTAGAGTGGGGAAGTTTTTTCCCCAGCTGCTGTTACAGCCCGCTGTCCCCACCCACACTCAGTGCAGTTGGTGTTCAGTGCCTCAGTGTGATTCTGGGAAGTTTTACTGTGTGAAGTTAGGCCTCTTCTTTGGGCATTACTGATAGAACTGCTGTTCTGCCTCTCAATTGGCATCTTCTGCAAATCCAGGCTGTAGTCCAAGTCCCAAAGTTCTCAAGCCCTGCCCCTGCCACTTCACACTAACTCACCTGCTGTTAATGAGTGAGGACTCATGGTAGCAAATCACCTTTTCTTTTCTTGTCCAAGGGGAACAAACTACTGTTCCTGGGCAGGTGGCCCAGTTAGAGGAATTAGAAAATGGCAGCTGGAGGGTTAGGAATAGGCAGCCCCTTTCCCCCAGATTCGGGTGCGGCCAGCACAGTGGGTGAGCTGTCTGCTTTACTGGTATAGTCACGTCAAAAAAAAAGGAAGCAATTACTTAATGAATTCTTGTTAACATCTACTAAATTTCTTCTTCCTTTTCCAAGATGTTGCTTTAATAATAGATGTATTAATTTTGCTCAGCATCTGTGAAAGGGCGTTTGGGTTTCAGAAGCCAGGCTTCCCTGTGACAAGCTCGTCCTCCCTGTGTCCATAGCTTGGCCCGCTGTGTCTGCCCCCTGCAGTGCAGAGCTGGGCTCAAGGCCTTAATGGTGCACTCTGCTTGCTGAGATGCATGAATCAATTTGCTAGGAAAGAATTTAAGCTCTAAAGAGCTACATTCTTTTCCTACAAAGTCTTCATCTTCTAATTTTCAGTGAACTATTCTTGCAAAGTTCACTTTACCCTTTCAGTTCAGTGTGGTCTTTTGTTTTTCATGGTAGAGATGATGAAAAATGGGAATTTGTCTTTCCTGACATCCATTTATATCAAGTAGAGGCAGTCCTTCTATGGCATTGTCTGAATAAGGAAGTTTAAATATATATTTTGTTGTCCTTAGTCCATTCTTGGCTGTAGCCTAAAAAAGCCTAATACCACACAACTATTACAAGGTATGAGGTTTCTATTTACTGCTTGAGTTTATCACTCAGTTAAATTCACTCAGAAATCATCCTCTAAGCTTTACTAACTAGTCAGTTGGTCCATGATTGCTTCAACCCTTGAAAGCCTTCTTTTTATTCCTTAGGTCAAAATGACTTTTTGTAAATGGCCTTAACCTATGTAAGTCTTCAGGTTCCTTCGGCCTTAGTGGTTAAACAGGTATGCTGCTTTTAGTTTTTGCCTCTCGTTTTGATTATTTATTCAGTGCTCATCTTCTTGTGCTTCCCCTTCCATTTCTAAGCATTTGGCCCTTGCCAGGCACCACGGGAGGCTGCTCTGGCCTCCGGGTTTCCAGCAGCTCCCCAGCTGTTCCAGTCTGAACCTGCTCTCCATTCCTGAACCCGTTCTACGGCTGCTACTCCGTCAGATGACTCAGGCTTCCTGGACCTGGTTTTCATCATTAAAACCAAGCAAAGCCCTTACCTACATTCCCAGGCATAGCTGAGTTCCACCTTCACCCTGAAACACAATCTGAGATTTTTAAAAATAGAAATGTACCTCTTTTAGGTACATATTTCCTGGCCCCACAGTCCTCGGGTCCAGGTGCCTTGCTTTATCCTCACAGGCACTGATGGGGACCATGTGCATCCTGAGCCGGGAAAGAGAGGCTCAGGGAACAGCAGCCAATAGCAAGGACCACATCCCATTCAAGCTCCTGAAACCAAATCCAGCCTCTTCTCACTAAGCCACTCATATATAAAACCCTGTTTACTGTTTGAGTGTTGGCCTCACTGGAAAGCTATTCTTCAATGATTCACGATTAGCTTTTGAAATGGATGATTTTATATCAATTCATAGTTTATTATAAATTACCAAATATATCCCAGGCACGATCCAAGTTACAATACCATTCTCTGAATTTACAAAAATGATCACTGATACTTATCATAAGAGTGAATGAAATTCAGTGTTTGCTTTTGCCCTCAGGGTTCCTAATGGACTGAAAGGAGGTTTAAGAATTTGATATTTAAGCAGATCTGCTTGGAACTTTACTGTGGCCTCACTGAGGAAGTTAGGGTGGTACTGGTTGAGGCTGGCTAGGTTTCAGTTAGTGATCTTTTTATGACAGGCCTTTGGGTAGTACTTAATCCTTGTTTATCATACCCCGACCTTTTCCAGAAAAGTACAGATAAGGCAGATGGCATACGAATCTGATCGTTTTGTGTGTAGGTGCGAAATTACATTCATTATTTCAGAAATAGCTCAGCTTCTCTCCTTGTGAGCTGACTCCTGTGACCCACTGAATTTGTCCTCAGCCTAATTATGATGATTCTTCCGTTCTCCTTAAATCAGTGTTCAGGGAAGTTTACTCAGTATTGTCCTCAGTGAGCTGATTATGCAAGGCAGAGCACCCTTGCAAATAATTTAAGCTCAAGTGGATCCAAGAGCAACACAGTTGCAAGAGAGATTAATCCTGCCTTTCAGGGTGCTGGTCTAATTTTACTATCCCAAGAGAGTTTTATTTTTCAGTTTTGTTTTAATTTTACCTCCTTTTCTAAGTAATAAGCTCACCATGCTAGAGACTGTCTTCTTCATTACTCCTTCCTTTCCTCATTTCCCAGCGTGGTGCATGTTTGTTAAATGAGAATGTATTTTGGGACTGTGCCTCGGGAGTCTAGATACAATGGCAGAGAATTTCATATGTCCAAAAATTAAGAGCATGAACTTTGAGATTGTACGAAACTAGGCTCAAGTCCAGACTCACTGTCACAACTGTGTGGCTTCAGGCAGGTTTCAGTTCCACTTTTCTGCCCAGGGGTGTAGCTCAGTGGCATAAGCACCTGCTTGGCAAGCAGGGGGTCATGAGTTTGATCCCTGGTACCAAAAAGCATAAAAATAAAAATGGCTGGCCCTGAATCAAGGCCTGCAGCTTCCTGATGCTGTTGGTTTCAAGCAGGAGCCTAAAGAGATGTCTTTATATGGTCTGTTGACCATTTCAGAACTTGGGCAGTGAAATGGTCAATTCATTAGAAAGAAACATATAAATTTCAAAGCTAGATGACCTGAGATCTTCACTATCTATCATATTTTTGTTTTCTTCCAAATAGTTGTCCACATCTTTACATTCAGAGAATTCATACAAAATAACACAGCCTAAAACTGATCCGAACAGAATGAGAAAGGTGTTTTAAGTCTTCAAAACCAGACAATAGGGAAGTCACTAATGGCTGTCTTT